GTCAAAAGCTTTGCTAAAGTCAAGAAACACTACATCCACTGCTTTCCCTTCATCCACAGAACCAGTAATCTCATCATAAAAGGCGATTAGATTAGTCAGGCATATACTTTGTTGCAAGGATAGTCAGGCATATTTCCAGCAGTTGACAAGAACGTGTGAGGAACGGGGGGCGTGGGGGGGGAATAAACATGGGGAAATAGTTTTACTTTGTGTAAAGACACAGCCACTCCCAGTCTTTATTCAAGCCTAAGTTAATTGTGTCCAGTTTGCAAATTAATTCCAAGTCAGCAGTCTCTCATTGGAGTCTGTTTTTGAAGTTTTTTTTGTTGAATAATTGCTACTTTTAGGTCTGTAATCGAGTGACCAAAGAGATTGACCGGTTTCAGAGATGGAAGTGTTCTCCGACTGGTTTTGGAACATTATAATTCTTGATGTCTGATTTGTGCCCATTTATTCTTTCACGTAAAAACTGTCCAGTTTGGCCAATGTACATGGCAGAGGGGCATTGCTGGCACATGATGGCATATATCACATTGGTAGATGTGCAGGTGAACGAGCCTCTGATAGTGTGGCTGATGTGATTAGGCCCTAGGATGATGTCCCCTGAATAGATATGTGGACACAGTTGGCAATGGGCTTTGTTGCAAGGATAGGTTCCTGAGTTAGTGGTTCTGTTGTGTGGTTGCTGATGAATATTTGCTTCAGGTTGGGGGCCAGTCTGTAAGCAAGGACTGGCCTGTCTCCCAAGATCCCAATGGCCCACCTTGATCATCACTACAAAAGGTTCTCTCCTCCCCCTTTTCCCCCCCGTAATAGCTCACCTTACCTGATCACTCTTGTTACAGTGTGTATGGTAACACCCATTGTTTCATGTTCTCTGTGTATATAAAGTCTCCCCACAGTATTTTCTACATGCATCTGAAGAAGTGAGCTGTAGCTCACGAAAGCTTATGCTCAAATAAATTTGTTAGTCTCTAAGGTGCCATAAATACTCCTTTTTTTAACTTGCTACATACAATTCATAGTGCATAGTCTTTAATGGCTTACAAATGTGTAAGCCCTGTTACTTGGCACAACATCTGCAAGAGAAGTTTACTGTGTCATTTCTTGGCAAATAAAGGGCCTGAGCTTGCAGACTTGACTCATGTGAGTCAGGGTTGTAGGATTGGGCTCCTAATACAGGTTTCAGCTTGTTCTTTTCTATAACAGACATGGTATGCCTCAAGGTGAACCAAACCACATATGCAGTCCTAGCTAAGGCAACTTCTGGTTGAGTGCCTTTATGAATGTCCTTTGATGTGGCAAATGACTTTTGTTTTGAGTCATGGCATATCATTCAGTAGGTTGCTTGCACCTAGGGTGACCAGATGTCCTGATTTTATAGGGACAGTTTTGATTTTTGGGTCTTTCTTATATAGGCACCATTTACCCCAAGCCCCTGTCCTGATTTTTGACACTTGCTGTCTGGTTACCATACCTGCACCTACAGAAAACCCACAGAGCATCTTACTCCGCGTCTATTTATGTACATCAGACACGCAATTTACTGATGCATTAAGAAGTTTAATCTAAATGTTTTACCCTTACAGGGGGAGTACCTATCATTGCTAGTAACTTTGGATATACAGCAACAGATAGAATTAATCTCACTATTCCATGTGAGTTTGTATCTTCATGTTTCCCAACAGTGACCATCCCTGCTGTCTCTTCTGTTTATAATCTAGATGACTGATATTATAGAGCACTAAACTCTTTGTTTAGACTTTAACAGCCTAGAAGGGAGTTTTCAGCTTCTGATGTAGAGGAATCCCCCAGTGTTGAAAAGCACAGACGCACAGGGCCCGAAACTTGCACCACCAGCTTCCCCATGCGGTGCAGAGGGAATGCTGGGGTGAGCTAGGACTGGAAGGCACTGTGCTTCAGTGTCCTGGACTGGTGGAACAGCTGGTAGAAGTTACAGAAACTGGCTGACCATTGGATCAGGGAAGGTTGAAAGCGGCCTCCCAACCAGCTGCACAGACTGAGGTCAGCACAGAAGAGGATCAAGCTCCTTCTCTTTGTATTTCCTGTAAAGCACCAGCTGTACTTCTGGCATAGCAACAGCAACTTAAAAAAACCCAAAGAACTAGACAGGATCTTTGTAGACAACGTATTTTGTTGACAACGTAATATGTTTAGAGTCAACATACCGTACAATAAAATATTTGCAAGTGGAACACATTTCAAATGAGTAGAAACTATCTGCAATATATTTCTAAGACAAAGGGATCTCCTCACATTTATTGATATCACAAGGTATATGCAATTCCTGGTGGCAGGGCTCAGAGAACTATATTGCATGATATGTCACCCCACCCTATCAGCTTAAATGCAGTTGTTGGTGTGGGTGAGGGGGAGTTGAGTTTTTGTTTAAGGGATGAAGCAGGAATCAGAAAATATTTTACCGCATGGTACTAAATTGCCTGGTTAAATATACTTCAAAGGTTTAAGTCTGTCTTTTTCCCTAAAAGTAATATTCCCTATTTTCTGGCTGCAACCGATATTATTAATGTATTAAGAAGCTGATTCAGGTATTTTTTTTATTGGACATTTTTAGGGCTGAAAAGGCTGTAGGAGAGAATTTCTCTCTAAAATGAGGCTATTAATCTCTGCAGTTTAAATACCCCCTTTTCTGCTCCATATATTAAAAACTTACTAATATAATGTAGAAAGCTCTTGTCCATAACTTTATTTAGACCAGCTTAATTTGGCCTGAGAATGATAAACTCAAACTACTAATTGGACACCTTGTCCCTATGTCTTAAGGAAGTGTGACCTAGGGACCTCTTGGTTCCAACTGGCTTGTTTTCTTCCTTCTTAACCCTACAGGACCCATCCTAAGGCACAGCCATGTCTCCCCAATACCGTAGGAGTCAATCCTGCATACTACTCTCCCTCCAGGAAAGACTCCATACCCGTATGAAGGTCTATTCTGCCCTCCTGTTGGTCCTATTGCTAGCTTCTTTGGTCCAGGATGTAAATGAACTAAGCCTGGTTTCTGGATATCAGGTAAGTTCAATACCTAATCACCCACTGGTACCTAAACTAAGGCCATGTCTACGCTACCTGAAATCGATGCAGCGGTGTCGATCTAATGGGTCTGGAGAAGACATGCTAAGTCGATGGGAGAGTGTCTCCTGTCGACATAGACTTACAGTGGTGTCTACACTGCGATAAGTTATGCCAGTTACGTAACTAAAGTTGACATAGCTTACAGCAATATTTTAGAGCAGCCCTAAAATGAGTTTTTGTAAATAAAAGATAAAATTATCATGGCACTTAAAAGCCTAACTCACTTTTGAAAATGGGCTGATGCATTTTGACCATCCCCATGCCCAGACATCTACAAAACAAAAATCTTTGTTATCCAAATGGCAGTTGCCCAGTGAGGACCACACACAACAGAAGGAATGATGGGAATTTACTGGAAGGCAAAGAATCCTTTTGGACTAAGCCAAGTAGGTAAACTCCTTCCTGACCTTCAGTCTGGTGCTCACTAGTTTCTGGTGTGTACCACTGTAATAGCAAAGGGGGAAGAGCCTGGCAACTCCTGAGCAAGAACACTTCCATCCTGGAGTGATCAATCCCAGAAGCAGTGGAAGCTCGCTTTGAATGTGGGGTCAGAGTGTCAAACAGAGGAGGGGAGGTTAGGTTGTCTGGGGATAGCTGCTCCCAGTTCCTGAGAATGAGGCAGGGCTTGGGCCTCAGGGGGCGGTGTGTGATTGATTGGGGGGGGGGCGCAGAAACATAGAGCAGCCCCCACAATATTTCTATTGAGGAGGCACAAACCTACTCATCACTGTGTTCCCACACCTGCCTAAGACCCAGCTCCCAATGTTACGCTTAGCCAAATAGTGACAGATTGGGAGACTCTGCCATTCCCATGGTCCTCAGGCATCATGCAATTCTACCCCTGGACAAGGAGTGATAGAGAACATATGAGGTATCTGTGCACTGGGGGGTCAGGAAGCTGCCATCCATGGCATCCCGACCAGAGCCAGTCTTCTCTTCAGTGTGAACTACCCTGCTCAAAAGTAAGCTATCCAGTAACATTTGCCTTTTTTTTAAGCAGAGTATTGTAGTCTGAGGAATGTTCAAGGACACCTCTCTTGCTGCCAGTATTTCTAGAGAAACACCTTCTACGTCATCTGATTTAAAAAACAAAGATGATAACCTTTGAAGCAGCCCAAAGTGAAACACTCCACAAATAGCTTTAAAACAAATATTCTTGAGGCAGGTAGTGAAGCTGAATCTGGCTTTAACCAGATAGGGAAAACCCCTCTGCTATTAGCTTTTCTCCTGCTGGTATTTGGAGGAATGTTCAAGGGCACATCGGCTGTTGTCTGCATTTCTAGGTAGTAGATTTTGGACCTAAAATTTACTGGCCAGCTAGAAGAACAATACTGCAAAACCAATTTAGCTCTCACAGCTGAGCCTCACTTAACTGGAATTATTCATCCTTTCAGCTTGCAGAAATGGGTCTATGGTGGCCTTCTAGGCCCATACACCAAAAATAACTGTAAAACCACACACGTATCAGCAGAACTAGTGTCAACTAAAGATAATAAAGAACTTCATCATCAAACCACCCTCTTGTGATAAGCCTGAGTAACAACAGCACATTGCATGGCCTCTGAAAGCCAGTGTACCAAGAGGTGAAGGTAAAGTCTAGAGTCCCCTGAGAATGCCTCCCATGCAAGATGTACAAATCCATGGGCTATTGACTTGAAGTCCGCCACACTCTGATGTCCGGGGTAATATACTAGATGTATAACAAACCTCCTTCAGGTATTTTTTGTATCTATATAATAGGTCTGTAAATCTAGCTAACAAATTTCTCATCAATGTGTGTTGGGGCAGACACACTGTAAAAAGTGTTCCTTTTCAGACAGCTCTTTAAATGCTCCCTTTCAGCCAACAGAAAAAGAACCGAGGCAGTCACAGATGGCTAGTGAACTCACCTCCATGTTTTACTGAAACTGTGGGCACTATGGAGTGACGTAACCCTGGCTGTCTTTTCATGACAGTCTTTTCTTAGTCTCCTCAGATATGTACCTCTCTGGAGTGGCAGAGTGCCTGCTGGGGTAATTTTCAGGGATTAGTGACTGCTCCTTGTTTCCCCATCTGTAACAAAAGAGCATCTTCAAGCAAGAATGTAATAACTGTGTACAATAAGCATTCTCAAACTGTTTGGTGTTTTAGCCTGGATGGGCTCTTATGAGAGCTAGTGCCTCAGGGACACTGCCCCTCACATTTGTGATAGTCTGACTCATCTCCCCTCCCACCGCGGTGGCAACGACAGCAATTGCTTACAGGGAATAATAATACTGGGAAAGTTATTTATGCATGCCTGACTGCTTCTTTTTTGGGGGAAAAAAATTAGTCACGCTGTGTTTGCTCTTCGTTTCATCTCCCTGTGCCATCTGTTCTAAGCCGGCGGAGAAAAAACAAGGAGGAGAGCCAGGTTCTGTTAACCAACCAGCCCTCCATGGAAATTCAACAAGTATTCCATGGTCCATGGATCACTGTTTGTGAAACTTGGATCTATGTAAACCACCTGATTTACTTTACCCTGTGTAGGAGGCTGCCCCTCACAATTCTCAACTGAACTGGAACAGGGATGGTTGAAGAGTGAACATACCATAAAACATCTTGATTTATGTTGTGAACCCTAGGGGGTCATGAAAGGCACTGAAAATTTACTATCAGCTAAAGCAAAGACACTTTTTCTTCCCACTCCCAACCTTATCCTTCATGTCCAAGTATCCTCTGTCAACCTTTTGAACACACACACACACACACACACAATTTCAATAGGTTTAAGATTAGTGCTACTGTACAAGAGTAAAAAAAATATGTAAGGGGGTTGGGAACACTTGACTTTGAATAAGGGGTCCCTAACCTGCGAAGGTGGTGGTAAGGAAAGATAGTCCTTTTCAGTTAAATATGTTGGTGGAACATCTACTTTGACTTTTATAAAACATGTGCACTCACTGCCTAAGCCTCTAGCAAACGTACATTAATACTTCACGGCAGCATGTCAAATGTGACCGGCTAACACTTAACTGAACACAGTGGAGTCTTGGCTCCTTAAAACATGTGTTTCTCGGTTTGATCTATAAAAACTTGGGCAGTTTAAATCATTCTAGTGGCAACAAATGAGCTCTATTAACACAACACATGGCACAGACAACCCCGTAACTGGCAAAGATCCATATATTTCAGTCTACAGAATTAGAAACCTGCACTTTCAGAATATTGACTGGCCCTCCAGAAAGATTCTATTTGCTCACCAAGATACCTTTGAGATAAAGCTGCTCTCATAAGTATTCCATTGGGGTCACAAGCAAAAACGAGCATGCCAGTATTCAACTGTTCTGTGCAAAACAGGAGAACATTAAGCAGTGTATGGTTAACCCTGGAAAACGCCAAAGTTAAAATTTGTATGTACAATCCCCACTTTGCTCCCTTTATAGACAATCATAATCCATAAGCATCAGTGATGAGCTGCCAAAATCTTAACGGGTTCCCTCCTCACCCCACGAGGGGGTCGTTGCCCACCCCCCCCCACCCGGAGCCCTGTCCCCTGAACCGGGCAGGAGGGTATTGTGGGCCACCGTAGTGGATGCCCACCCCATCCCTAAGAGCCAGAGGCACCCGCCAGGGGGTGAGGTGGGGAGTCCCGGAGGTGCTTACCTGGGGCAGCTCCCAGGAAGCATCTGGCAGGTCCCTCTGGCTCCTGGGAGCAGTCGCTCCCACACTGATCACATCAAAAGTGGCACCTTAGGCGCTGACTCCCTGGGTGCTCCAAGACTGGAGCACCCACTGGCAGCTCCTCAGCCTGCGCCCAGGCCCATATCAACTCACCTCTGCTGAATGCGCTGCCCCACTCTGCTTCCCCCCCCCCAACCGCGGCTTCCCGTGAATCAGCTGTTCCGGCGGGAAGCCTGGGAGGGCTGAGAAGCAGGCGGCGGCTTCACACTCAGGCCGAGGGTGGCGGAGGTGAGCTGGGGCGGGGAGCGGTTCCCCTGCGGTTCCCGCCCCCCCCCAACGGGTTAACTGCTGCGGCACGGGTGGCCCTCCTCGCGCTCCCCTCCGCCTCCTGGGCCTGAGCAGGAAGCCGCAGCCTGCTTCTCAGCCTGCCCCAGCTGATTCATGGGAAGCCTGGTGGGGGCAGAGAAGCAGAGCGGGGCGGCGTGTTCAGGGGAGGAAGCAGAGGCGGAGCAGAAGTGAAATGGAGCCGGGGGTGGGGCGGGGAGCTGCCGGTGGGTGCTCTTCACCCACCAAATTTTCCCAGTGGGTGCTCCAGGGCTGGAGCACCCATGGAGTGGCGCCTAAGGCGCCACTTTTGGCTGGTTAAATTTAGAAGCCCTTTTAGAACTGGTTGTCCCTCACGGAACAACCGGTTCTAAAAGGGCTTCCAAATTTAACAACTGGTTCTAGCGAACCAGCTCCAGCTCACCACTGATAAGATTACATAACGCTTCTCAAATCGTATCATACAAGTGTGTCATCTCGTAGTTTTGTCCCTTTTTATTTACTCTAACTTCATCATTGTCTAATATCGCTAATATCATTGACTTGGACTTTTTATATGGTGGTAAGCTTTCCTCTCTCGCGATGGTGTCCATTTTACAGATTCTGTAAACATTCATGTGAGACAAACAGGGATATGGTGATTTCAAAATGTGAACTTGCCCAAGGGCAGCTTGTTGTATTGCATTCTAGACAGTTGCTCTGCCTGGGAAAGCTGTTTGATGCCTCGCAGAAGTCCCATCAGTGAGAGCAATCTGGAGCTATAGCCTTTGAATGAGACTCACCGATAGAATTGGCTGTGAAAAACGTTGAGGTTTTGGAAAAGTCCCACCCTACCTGAGATGAAAAGCCAAAACATTCACCTTTTTGTGTGGAAGTCAAATTCCAAAATTTTGTTTCAGAAAGGATGGCATGTTCTGACACTGGGAATGTTTCCCAAATGAAATATGCTTCCCACACTCCCTGGGCTCCCGAAAGCCTGTGCTGCCAGGGAAGCAGCTGGGTGAGTTGGCCAAAAAACAGGCAGGTTTCTGTCAAAAGTTTTGTCAAAAATCACCACAAACCTGTAGAGCATTTAGATTTCAGCAAATTGGCATTTTCTAACCAAGAGGGAGTGTCTGTTAAGAAATTCTTCTGCTACACCTGTGTTCCTTGTCTTTCTGCCACGTTACCCCGAAGGAGTTAAACTAGTAACCAGGGGGCCACAGCCTAGGTGCAACTTTGGAGAAGTTGTGCGTAAGCAACCAAGAGCGGGATTGGGGGAAAGCTCAGGAGGTCTTCCACTGACAGTCTAACCTACCTTTATGGTGCATCCCATGTCCCCGGGAAGGGAGTTAAACAAGTGATCTGAGCCTGGGAATGTGCCTTAGAGGGACAGTCCTAAAAACAGTGACTAGACTCTGTCTAGACCCCCATATTAGGGTTTTCTTCCTGGAAAGCAATTATTTGCTGCTCCCATGTGCTTTTTTGGTAGATTAAGGTCTAGCCTACGCTAGAAACTTGCAAGTATAATGGTGTCTGTTAGGGGTGTGATTGACTGAATTTACGACATTTCTATACTGGCAAAAGCCCGAGCGCAGAGACCGTTACACTGACATAAAGGTGCTTTTGCTGACATAGCTTATTTGTCTCTGGAAACAGGTGGGAAATGCCACAGTTAGAATGGGTAACACACTCTAATTCATGGAAATATATTTTGTACAAAAGTTTGCTTTTAAGAGGAGTAATACCAGCAGGAAATGGTATCTGAATGTAGACCAAAGAAACAGGTAAGAATTATTTTCTACAGGAACTTTTCTGTATTAATCTCACTTCTGGGTATGTCAGGCCTTCTGTTGGAGACACTTTGATTATTAAATCAGGCCTTTTAAGCTTCTAGTGCTTGGTGAACTCATTTTCATTTCTGATAGGAAAATAACAGACTGTCACACAAAGCCTTTTCCTTTGCATAATTTTCTAACATACTTGTGACACATGGCATAGATGACAGTGAAAGACTTAAAATTTAAGCTGATGATTCAGAATTAATAATGAGAAACAACTTTATTATTGTCTCGGGGATTCAAAACAGGTTGCTGATTGTCTAACACCATTTGCACAACTTTAAATGGCATACACACAAACCAGGAAACCTGTGCTTCATTAGAACTGCTAAAATCTCAAATCATATTGTAGCCATAGGATAAAACTACCTCTAGAAGTGTATTGCAAGTTTTTATACTTTTTTCTTTTACTTCAGAAACCTTACTAGTGTGATCTTTTAGAAGATATTCAGAAGAGTGCCAATAATGCTGCAATAGCAAAGCCTTTAAATACCTCAAGACAAGAAAGCTTAAATTCTGCTTTACGTTCGGACTGCCAAGGATGCCTGTAGACTGCTTCCCCACTCCCTTTTAAGCCGCCGAAGTAGAAAATTCTTGGGTAGTCTGATGCTGTTATCTTTAGATCTAATGAAGACTTTCAAAGCCTGTTGCATAAGAAAATTCTAATGTAAAGGAATGATCATTTCACAAGCTTTGTTTTTTCTGGACATTAGAAGCTAAAAAGAACGGACATTTTCTATACTGCACAATATTTCTTTGAAATGCTTCACTTTGGTGCAAGACAGCACACACAAATTTCACAGCTGGGTTTGTTGACAATGTTTAAGTGAATCAGAAAGCGAAGAAAAAAAAGAAATACCAGAGATAAAGTAGACCCCACTGCAAAATGAGGGAGCCAAAAATCAGTAAGTCCAAGATGGCTAAACAACTGACCAGCTCCTTTATGATCAGCCTTTAAGAATATAAGGAAAAGAGGATTGAACATTTTGAAGTAACAAAGAGTTTGTCAACATGCAGAAGCTGCTGATTACAGAATAAAAAGATGAGGAGATGCTTGGGAAAACTGATGATTTGTAGTAAGACTTGTTTTTTGGGTATTACAGTAGTACCCACTGGCCTCTGTAAGGATCAGGACCCCATTGTGCTTGGCACTGTAAGGTCATGTCTACACCACAGACTTTGGTTGCTGCAAGTTAAGTCCGCATAAAGTTGCTGCAGTCAGTATATTGCTTTTGCACACTCGACTCTTTGTGTTGGCAGTGTGTG